CGCAGCTGATCTTGGCTCTGCAGGGAGTGGACAGAGTCATCGGTCAGCTGATGAACGGCCTCAAACAACTCAACCTTCATCAGTGTGTCAACATCATCATCGTCGCCGATCATGGTAACACACACACACATACAATCAGCCGTGAGGAAACACACTCTGTGCAAGTGTGACGTGTGTGTGTGTGTGTGTGTGTGTGTGTGTGTGTGCGCGCGCAGGTATGGAGGAGACCAGCTGTGAGCGTAAAGAGGCTCTTCAGAATTTTATAGGTGATGTCAATCATCTGTACGTCAGTGAAGGGCCTTTTGGACGAATCAGAGCGAAAAACACAACACACACCTGTAAGTCAAACACACACACACAAAGTTTAGAACAGCCCTAGTGAGTGACGTGTGTCAATAAACTGTGTGTGTGTGTGTGTGTTTGACAGTGGACGCAGCTGGACTCATAGCAAACATGTCGGTAAGAGTCACTGCACACTACAGTACACACTACACACTTCCTGCTGTTGTTTAGGGACAGTATTCAGATCAAGGTTATGATCGTTAAGTAAAACTATTGTTGTAAATTGAAAAAAAGCTGAAATAAAATACAATAGAATATTAGATAAAAATTAAATGTTAAAAAAAATTAAAAATTTCAGTTAGTTGCTAAAGCAACATTTCTCATTTTCATTTATGATGAAGCACTAAAATTACTAACTGGAAATAGAGTAAATAAAAACCAAGACCAAAATACAAATAAATTAAACCTAGATAATAATATTAAAATAATGACAAAAGCACATAACAAAATTACTAAAAATGCAACTAAAATTAAAATAAATACTGAAGGTGCAAAAATAAAAGCTAATTCAAAATATTAATAAAAACTCATAGTATATAAATAATACTAAAATTACACTGATTCAGATCTAATCTGGTTGTATTATTTAATAAACATAATAGACATAAATGCACCTATTTTGTATTTTAATTGAGTTTAAGTCATAATTATTTCTATAGTGCTTTATACAACAGATTTTTTTTCAAAGCAGCTTCACAGAAATAAACAAGAAAATAAGTGTTAATGTCTCAACTTTCTTCAATTAGGAATCAGACACTTCTATTTCAACTCTAAATCAGATCTACAGAAGATAATAAAACTGATTGAAAAGTTTCAACTTCAACTAAATTAATCCGTTTTATTGAATATTAATTGTCTTAAAGCCCTACTGGTGGTTTAAAGGGCAATTAATATGCAATAATATTATTAGATTAACAGCACTTGCACTACTGGATGAGAACAAAATTTGAGCTGACACTATTGTCTTCTAAATTGTGAAGTTATTACAAGTGAAACTAACATTTAATTTTCAGTTTCATTACTTATGAATTTTGCAACATTAACATTGTAATTTCGTTGTTCATAACTGTAAAGCTGCTTTGACACAATCTGTACTGTATAAAGTGCTGTAGGAATAAAGGTGAAATGACACAGTGACACAAAGGGTGTAATGACATTATAAGTAGCATTTTGAGGAAAAAGAACATTCTTTCCACTCAGCAGTTTCGCAGTGTGTTGTGTGTGCAATATTACGTGTGTGTTATGTGTGTGTTACATGTGTTACGTGTGTTACATGTGTGTTATGTGTGTTACGTGTTACATGTGGGTTACTTGTGTGTTACGTGTGTGTTACGTGTGTGTGTTACATGTGTTACTTGTGTGTTACGTGTGTGTTACATGTGTGTTACCTGTGTGTTACCTGTGTGTTACGTGTGTGTTACGTGTGTGTTACGTGTGTGTTACATGTGTGTTACCTGTGTGTTATTGGCTGCTGTTGTTCAGTGTAAGCAGCCGGAGCAGCAGATCAAGCCCTACCTGAAACATCACCTGCCCAAACGTTTCCATTACGCCAGCAACAGACGCATCGAAGACGTCAGCGTCCTGGTGAACCCGCGCTGGCTCTTTGAGAGGTACCACACTCACACACACACACTCATGTTATGTAGAGACTAGCACATGTTCTGATGGTGTGTGTGTGTGTGTGTGTTGCTGCAGGTATCCTGGGTCTCTCACGTTCTGCTCAGGAGGAAATCATGGATATGATAATGACATCTACAGCATGCAGGTGTGTGTGTGTGTGTTTGCAGGTCTCTGTGTGTGTGTGTGTGTGTGCGTGTGTTGTTGACACAAAATTTTGCACAGATATTTGCTCTGATGTGCAGTTTGAACAAGTTACTCTGTCTCTCTCAGGCCTCGTTTCTCAGTTTAGGACCAAAATTCCACTTTCAGACAGAAGTGGAGCCATTTTCCAACATTGAGCTGTACAACCTCATGTGTGGTACGAAACCCACAAAACACGACATCTGAGTTTATTTTTAGAGCACAACCGAAGCTGATCTGAAGTGCTTTACAGTAGGGAATAAAGTAGCATCATAAAGTAAATATAGAAGGTGAACACACAGCACATCCAACACACATCTAACCTGTCAATCTGTTCCTCTCTCTTCCTGTCAGACGTGCTGGAAATCACTCCATTCCACAATAACGGGACTCACGGGAGTCTGAACCACCTGCTGCGGATGTCGGTTTACAGCCCCAGTCACCCGACAGAGCAGAGCGGCCCGGAGCAGTGCCCGATCACCAGCCTGGAGCCCACACACACACTGGGCTGCAGCTGCACTGCACTGGTACACACACACTCACACTCACTCACACACACAACTTTGTGCATTTTTATTTTCTCAAAAAAACTCACTCTGTATGATTTATAAGCGTTTTGAAAAATGGGGACATGGGGTAATGTCCTCATAAGTCACCTTCTCCTTGTAATACCTATGTCATACCCATGTCATTATACAAATTTGTGTCCCCATATGTCACAAAAACGCGCACACACTAACACGCACACACACACTCACACACTAGGCAGCATTATATTTAGTTTTTTTCATCCTTCCGTTAATGAAAATAAATTTTAGTAGTTTTAGTTGTAGTTAACAATAATAACAGCACTGCCACTGACAGCTCCACTAATCTAGCTCTGTTTGTGTGTGTGTGTGTGTGTGTGTGTGTGTATTTCAGAGTGGAAGTGACATCAACGCGCATCTGAATCTCACTGATGCTGAAGGTGAGCAGTGATAATTTTCGTCATAATTTTCGTCAGCATTTTTTCACCGACAAAAACGAGACGATAACAAAATAAAAACTTGTTTTGAATGACAAAAACTATGACGAAAATCTATTGACATTTAGGGAGGGACGATTTGGGAAGAGATCCAGTCAGATCGAATCTCCAGCGTGGTTAGGAGGTCAGATGCGTGTTCCCACACACTGGAGAGTTCCTGAAACTCTTTCTCTCACACACGTCTGTTTCATAACAGCAGGTTTCGTTCATTCACATCGCACATGTGTGTTGACCGTGTGACGCCGTATAGCAGAAGTTCATGACATGCTTCAAACTCAAAGCCTTTACCAACAGTCTTCTGTGATATAGACTTCTGTGGAAGTTCACATGCTGCAGTAAACTAGTGACTGTTATTGCAGGCATTCCTGTAGATTAAATAGCATTTGCAACAACAAAATCATGGGTTTGATTTCCAGGGAATGCATGAACTGATCAAATGTTAACCATGAATGCAGTATAAGTCGCTTTGAATAAAAGCATCTGCCACGTGCATCAATGTAAATGATTTGGTCCATTAGACCGGCTTATTTACATTTACACTGATGCTTTTGGCATATCTTTTCAGTTCCCTAGGAATCAAACCCATGACGCTGGTGTTTCTCCTCTGATCACCTGCTGATAGGGAAAGTTTGGTGTGTAGAAAATCAAGAAGTGACTGTGTAAGATGACTGGGCAGGACTTATCAAACTCGTGTCAGCGTGTAGGAGCACTGTTGAGATAACATTGAGGTTACGTGATGTTGAAAGCTGTGAGAGTCACGATTACTCAGACCAGAGCTGATCAAGTTCAGCAGGAAGTCTTTGACATTCTGTGTCAGTCACCTGCTAAACAGCTGATCATAACGGACTCTGTGTGTGTGTGTGTGTGTGTGTGTGTGTGTGTGTGTGTGTGTGTGTGTG